GCAATTCATATTGAACTTCTGTTTACTAAGGCGATGCGCCTTGTTGCTAATACTATAGCAGCAACAACAGGACAAGATATACCGCCTAATAATTTATCCTTTCTAATTCAGACCTGAGACATACCACGGATATGCCATGGCGCGAGGTAGGCCACAGACATGCCGTAGCGCGAGGCAGGCCAGATATGCCATAGCGTGAGGTATGTCACAGACATGCCTTGGCGTGAGGCAGGCCACAGACATGCCTTGGCGTGAGGCCGGCCACAGACATGCCTTGGCGTGAGGCCGGCCACAGACATGCCTTGGCGTGAGGCCGGCCACAGACATGCCATAGTGTGAGGTATGCCACAAACATGTTATGACGAGAGGAACGCTACAGACATGCCACAAAAATATTTGCAGCTGTCATGTGAGCGTATGGGTTAAATCACGATTAAGAGTTAATCACGAGGTCAAAAAACGCCACGCCGGAAAATTGCCCAGATATTTTACACAAGAAGTACATATTTGAACAAATTTGTTGATATTGGAACAGAGAAGAAAAATTGTTGCGGAAGGGTAAGATTTAGCTTTATACAGACGGAGCCGAGAGAACGAATCGCTGGATTAGCCAATACTATTCGTACCTAAAAAGCAAGGTAACGAGTTACCGGCGTTAGACAAAAGGCTGATGTGAAGACGAACGGCGTCCAACAATTTCTTGAGCGCAGCACGCAGCACTGCTGAAGAAGTCCTGATTACATTGCAGCGTCTCGAAGAGAGCATGTTACCGTACTCGTGTCAATGCTACAGTAAGCGTGTCAATGTTATAGTAAGCGTGTCACTATAAAAAAATTTTAAGAATACTGCTCCGATTACACACTCACATTGCACAAAACATCACGCACGCAATCGCGTCACTATGCAGGCTAGACGGGCAACATTCAGAAAAAGAGTGAAATATGTCCTTCATCGCGTCACTATGCAGGCTAGACGGGCAACATCCAGAAAAAGACAGTGAAATATGTCCTTCATAGCTCCACTATGCAGGCTAGACGGGCAACATCCAGAAAAAGACAGTGAAATATGTCCTTCATAGCATCACTATGCAGGCTAGGCTTGCACTGTTCAGGAAACTGACAGTGAAATACGCCCTCCATCATGTTTCTATCGAGCTTCATCATCAAGCATCTAAACACTGACATCTTTTTAAAATAAAAATTTAATAGCAAGAATATTAAAAATCTTTGAACGTAATTCTCACTAATTTTCACTACAAATAATGAATCACATGCACGGTGAACTTTGTATTTCACTTGCTAGCAAATTTGAGGCATGCAAAAAATTTTAGCGACGAAAAACCATCAAAATGTGGTATAAGAAGTTAAGAACGACAGTGTGTACCGAGTTTCGCGTGCCTGCACACCACGTGTGCACAGTCTTTAACATGGATAATATAAAACAATCCCACAATACCTGATCAAAGTCAACTCGGCACTTAAGAAATATCTGGTGTTTACCCTGAAATAACTGCGCCATATGCTTTACACTGATTGTTATATAGTTAAGCTTCACCGAGAAGGAATTGTCGAAAGAATGCTGATAGAAGAGCTAGCAAGAATTCTTCGCGATAATTAGCAATGGCAAACGACGAAGTCTCAAACAAGCCGCGTTCTGAGCTGAAATACACGCTGCTGCAGACACACCAGAGCTGATATTTGAAGGCAGCCACGAGCGACGCGGTGTGCTGTGCTGCTGCCGTCAATATATATGCAGCACTTCATTCAAAAAATAATAGATTTTTCACTAATGACAGTCCGTGCTATGCTAAAACAGCAGTAGTTCAAGATAAGAACAGAAGTTCAAAATAGCAAGACCCATTAGTAATTATGCATCGCAAGCGCTGCATCAACAGCTACCTTCCTCCGCAAGCTCGCAGCAAGAGGCTACAGTTGTTCAATTAAGTCATGATGGGAAGCGGGCATATTTCAATTTAGTTATCTTCTGAAGTGAAGAAGAAAAAGTAAATTTTAAATCATACAGTGAAAAATTTTATTTATCTTCTGAAGTAAAGAAGAAAAAGTAAATTTTAAATCATACAGTGAAAAATTTGTCAACACTAGAAGCACGGCAGTTGTACACCACCTTGAGACACTGTGCGAGATCATTTTAACCTCGTGCGTTAATAATGGTTAAATACGTCTCTATTACCCCCGGAAACACGTTGGATGAATGAAATAATATTTCAGTTGCTAATTTACTAATTTGAGCGTTGTAAGCGACTTCTGCGTCATGTTGTTACGAGGCGAAGAGGAGTAAGTACTGTTGTTCAATCCTGCTGCCAACGTGTTATATATGAAACGCTCTCTAAACTTGTTCTGACATGTCTGAACACAACGCTACTAATCTATCAATTGGCAGTCTTGCAATTAAAACGTTCTTTGCGTCTGTAGGATGCTCTGTAAAAAGATAAAAGCTAAGTAAATCTATTATGAGGTCACAACGACCTCATCGTGGATGAAGGTAGAGCAGTCAATTGTCCTGAATACATTTGATGTATCAAATGATTATTACGTAATTACATATATGATGATGAAAAAATTATAAGTCACAAAATTCCGTGGCAGTCAAATGAAGCGTTTACATACTATGCCTATTTTAAATGCGATATGTGGTCATTTTGATCTCACTCTGCTTCTACTGTTAAACAGAATTTCCGTGGCAATCAAATGAACTGCGTTTACATACCTATTATGAATATTTTTAATTAATGCGATACGTGGTCATTTTGACCTCACCGTGCTTCTAGTGTTAAACAGAATAACTGACGGGATTAGTTAAAAAACAAGTTTCGGACTAATTGAAGGTGCAATAGTTAAATCTGGCTGTGACTAGTGAGTAGCAACCTTAGCGCTGAACAAGAAGCAAATGAAGGCCCGTGAATTGATACTTTTTTGTGGAATATTGGGATAATTTTTTGAGGAATTGGGCTTATCTACCATGCACGCCGTCTAAATTGTCATTCAAATGTATATAATAGTTACGTGAAAAGCTCAAAAACGTATTGAAACTGTAAAATAATCGAGTTTCATGCTTCATATAAACTTCGAGAGTGAACAAATGGAGAAATATTTAGTTAGTAGATGAGAATTGTCGAGTTCAGATGACATCATGGCAGAGCCATAACTCGCCCGGTGTTGCCACCGCGGCTGGCCAATCTTGATTGGAGGTGTAAAATTTCTCCAATGTCGTTTAAAAAGGAGAAAAGACAAGGAATAAATAGACTTGTGTTTACTAAGAAAAAACAAGCTTTTAAAATCGAACAGTTTTTCTCATTTAGTCAATAAATGGGCCTCAATATGGCGAAACAGGGAAATGATGCTGCGGCAGCAACAGCGTCTGGATTGACTCAGGTCCCAATAATCAGAAATGCCACACAAAAACAAAATTATTTTAATTATCAATTAGTATCTACCAATCAACGCTGAGTGATAGAGTTTATTGAAAATAATGAAATTTCTTAAAATTTCGGTTTTGGTGTGAAAATCGTAGTTAACTAGGTAGAGACTTGAGCATTAACCATCATGATCACGAGTTCCTAAAGACTTATTTAACTTGAAAACTTTGAGCACTTTTTTGGACAGCCCTTCGTAAGTCTGAATAATGGCAGGTGAGCACTGAGCAGACAATACCTCAAACATGGAAAAATTGATGTTATGCTTAGTTTTCATTCTTCTCGGAACCAGCATGGCATTAGAAAAACAGAAGCATTTCCACCTATTTTATTCACCACGGCCCACGAGCTCGACAGCCAAAATGATTCCAAATCGCAGACACGAGCGACGACGAATGCTGATCAACAGCCACCTACACCGCCTCAGCAACGTTCTCGGACCACATAATAACAGCAGCGTTTAGACTTCTCTATTATCCAGAGCATACACAGAGCTCAACAGCCTCCTAGCTTCACAAGAAGAGTTTACTGCACACAACACAGCGATGCCAAAATTATTGTCTGGGAGCTGCTTCATACAATTCAGACTGAAGGGTGGCCATCGAGTGAATTAATATTTTGCATTTTATGACCTGCGTTAACATTGATAAAATATACTATACGGTGTTCAACTTAATAAGCAGGAGACTTGACTGGTGCAGTCTTGACTCTTGAGAACGAAATTCGTACAAATAGGTTAAGATGCGCCAACGTCAGCACAAGACATGCTGACAAGAATTAGCAGTCAAGTCTGGCTGATTCTTGTCAGTATGAGCCTAACCTAAGCGCTGAAAAAGAAGCTAAGGGTGGCTCGTTAATTGGAATTTAACATGAGGAATATTGGGACAAGTAAATAAAAATTAATGCAGTGAATGCAGGCATGACGCCATATGTGCAGATAAAACGTTTGCCGCCGACTCAGGGAGTCGGCTAGGTCGAGTCGTGGAGGAGCGCCAGTTGGAGGTGTTGGCTTAGCTGCCATGCACGCCGCCTCAATTGCCCTTCAAATGTGTGTAATATTTACGTGGCACGTTCAGAAACGCAGTGAAACTATAAGAAAAGTTGAGTTTGGTGCTTCATAGAACATTAAAGAGTGATTAAACCGAGGAGAAGTTTGTCAAAAGACGAGAATTGACGAATTCAGATGACAGAGCACTCGCCCTGTGTTGCGACCGCGACTGGCAAATCTTGATTCGAGGTGCAAAATTTCTAAAATATCGTCAAGATGAAATAAAACACAGAAATTAATGGACAAAAGTGTTCAATAAAATAATATCAAATGTAAAATGTTGAAAAAATGCGCCAATTTTTTCTATAAATCAGTATCAATTTGACGAAACAAGGAAAGTGTGCTACGGCAGAAGAGGCATCGGGACGGCTTCAGATATTAATCAAGGGTAAAGCTGCAGAAACACTAACTCTGTATAAAAAACTAACATCTGCAAGTAAACGATAAGTGTTAATAGTAAAAATTATACTTGATACAAGATCTGGTTAAAAGGCCAATAAAAAAAATGGAAGCACATACCTTATTTGCGGCAACATTGTTGGAACGAACTGCAGTAAATCCCGTTTCAAGTTCAGATAAGAAAGAAGTATCTTCGAACAATAAACCCGACTGATTATAATGATCTCTAAAAATTTGAAACCTCCTTACTTTTAATAAATAAGACACAAAATTCCTGCAAAGGAAGCGTGAAGAGCACAACGTGGCGACGGAGCACAAAGAAATCAGCTTCTCGTCCACCCTCTCTCTCTAGCTGCACCACCTCCACTCCCCTTACCCCCTAGCCCTACCTTCTTCTCGACTCCACCGCCACTTGATAAGCCATGAAAACTAATGTCACAATTATACTGCATCAGCTATACTAAATTTCATATTCATTTGTGTTTCGCAATAGAGCACCAGCGTTACAAAGCCGTATATATCGTCAGAGACATAGAAAAGAACTGCGAGCTTCTGAAGTCGGCAGCCGATCTTCCTAGCCAGTAGCCGCCATGTTGGAGGTGGTAATCCCCCGTTTTAATTCTCGCACAGTCGCACGTAATTTCAAAGCAAACCTATGATATAGTGATTTCTTTGAGTTGTTTACATCAAAATTTGAAATCAGATTGGTTTGTATTATTCAGCTTTTGCACCCGTATGATGGTGAATCGACATTGATTATTTGAACTTATTAGTTGCGCCATCAACCCCCGCTCTAGTTACCCCCGCTCATCATCATCGACCAATCTGTGGCGGCAGAATTCAATGAACATGCGCACTTCATAACTCATTGTACTGATCGTAATTTGCAAGCTAAGCGGCTACGATGGATACATTTATTTCACATCTGGAGCGCGTATAGGGCATCCTATCTCTGAGTAAAGGAAGCGTTCACCCAGATCGTCTTCATCACGCTTCACTGAATGTCTAAGCCACGGCTGCCATTCCGGAGTACCATGACTAAGCTCAATGCACGGTAAATGTTGCAGACTTGCAGCTATATAGAAAGTGTGGTACCGTGCAACAGGCTGTGTGACCGGTAAATGTACCGTGTGGTGCGTGGACCCGTGCAGCAGGCTGTGTACCCGGTAAATGTACCGTGTGGTGCGTGGTACCGTGCAACAGGCTGTGTCCGGTAAATGTACCGTACCGTGTGGTGCGTGGTACCGTGCAGCAGGCTGTGTGCCCGGTAAATGTACCGTGTGGTGCGTGGTACCGTGCAGCAGGCTGTGTGCCTGGTAAATGTACCGTGTGGTGCGTGGTACCGTGCAGCAGGCTGTGTGCCCGGTAAATGTACCGTGTGGTGCGTGGTACCGTGCAGCAGGCTGTGTGCCCGGTAAATGTACCGTGTGGTNGCGCTGTAACGTGTTGTGGGCGCTACGGGCGCTGTAACGTGTTGTGGGCGCTACGGGCGCTGTAACGTGTTGTGGGCGCTACGGGCGCTGTAACGTGTTGTGGGCGCTACGGGCGCTGTAACGTGTTGTGGGCGCTACGGGCGCTGTAACGTGTTGTGGGCGCTACGGGCGCTGTAACGTGTTGTGGGCGCTACGGGCGCTGTAACGTGTTGTGGGCGCTACGGGCGCTGTAACGTGTTGTGGGCGCTACGGGCGCTGTAACGTGTTGTGGGCGCTACGGGCGCTGTAACGTGTTGTGGGCGCTACGGGCGCTGTAACGTGTTGTGGGCGCTACGGGCGCTGTAACGTGTTGTGGGCGCTACGGGCGCTGTAACGTGTTGTGGGCGCTACGGGCGATGTAACGTGTTGTGGGCGCTACGGGCGCTGTAACGTGTTGTGGGCGCTACGGGCGCTGTAACGTTTTGTGGGCGCTACGGGCGCCGTAACGTGTTGTGGGCGCTTCGCGGGCGCCGTAACATGTAATATGATACACTGGCTGTTTCAACTTGAACTATCAACTCGCTTATTGTAACGAGCGTAGAGAATATATATTTATATATGTACTACACCAGAAGGTTAGCTCCATGTCCTCAGTTTTGTGTCCAATTTACCAAGTGTGAGGCTTGAAAGTTTCTGAGAGGCGCGGAACTGTACATAACAAGGCAGTGCGAGACTCCAGAGCTCGCAATTGAATATTGATCTATTGATATAAGTGTGAGGCGGTGGTGGCAGGTGGGGCAGTGGTGGCAGGTAGGGCGGTGGTGGCAGACTGGCCGGTGGTGCAGTAGTGGCAGGTGGGGCGGTGGTGGCAGGTGAGGCGGTGGTGGCAGCTGGGGCGGTGGTGGCAGACTGGCAGGTGGTGCAGTAGTGGCAGGTGGGGCGGTGGTGGCAGACTGGCCGGTGGTGCAGTAGTGGCAGGTGGGGCGGTGGTGGCAGGTGAGGCGGTGGTGGCAGCTGGGGCGGTGGTGGCAGACTGGCAGGTGGTGCAGTAGTGGCAGGTGGGGCGGTGGTGGCAGACTGGCCGGTGGTGCAGTAGTGGCAGGTGGGGCGGTGGTGGCAGGTGAGGCGGTGGTGGCAGCTGGGGCGGTGGTGGCAGACTGGCAGGTGGTGCAGTAGT